TCGCTGCCGGGTAGACCCGGTGCCGCAGCGAGCTCTCATAGGATGCCGGGTAGTGCCCAGGGCCAGTCGCCAGCGGCCGGCACAGGTCGGAGGGCTGCGTGGAGGCAGCCACCAAAGGGCTGGGGAAAGCGGGGACAATGAAGGGGTTGACAGAGAGGGATGGCACCACTGGCACCCCCTGGGCTTTGAGGTGTTCCAGTGGGTTCCCGAAACTTGCTGGCAAATGCAGCATTGCTCCCTTGTAAATGTCCGGGGCTTGTGGCAGTGTTGTAGCGTAGCCAGGGCTGGCCACCACCGCCTTGGGTTTGGCCAGCCCTTGCTGGCCCCTGGGTGAGCCAGCACCTGTGTCCCTGCTGTCAGCCTCCTTGATGAAGGGGGAGATGGCGCGTAATTTTGCAGAGGGGCCAAAAGCCGCTGCCGCCTCCTCCTGGCCGCGCTTGCCCCTTGGCTCAGCGGAGGCGAAGCCAGCCCTGGGGGGCACCCAGCAGGCTTTGACAGCAGCACAGGCAGCCCCTCGTTGGCTCTCCCCACTCCATGACTGCCTCGCTTTGCTCCGCAGGTCTTGGGGCTGTTCCGGTTCCTCAGATCGTGATGGGAAGGTAGAAGGCGGCTCAAAAAAATCCTTCAAGTTGGAGAAATACCCCCAGAGGGGATGGCAGCTGACAGGCTTAGAGCCCCTCTCTGCGTTAGGCGTGGAAGCAGCCGGTGAAGACAGTGGGTGCTGGACTCCCCTCCTTGGCCTGTGGGCAGGGCTGGCTGTCTCTCCTGCTGGGGGATGCGCTGGGGATGGGTTCCACCTCACTCCCGACACTCGGAGCTGTATCCTGAGCTCCCAACAGCTCTGGGCTCCTTTCCTTGTGGCCAGCGGCTGGCCGGGGGGGCTCATGGCCTGGGCCAGTGTTGCTTGCTGACTGCCAGCCCTCAGAGCCGTGGCGTCTGTGGCAGTTCAAGGACTCTGCCTTGCTCACCTGGGCCAGCAGCTTCTTTTTGGCCAGCGGAGACATGATGGGGTGGTTGCCTTTGGAGTAGAAGCTGGAGAAAAGGCGCTTATAGGTTTCAGTGTGGGGCCTGCAGAGGCTGGGACACCCCCCCGAGGGGCTCGGGACCGCGGGGCTGGAGCATCCCTCAGCCACCCGGCCCCCCTCTGGGGCATCCCTGGCGTCCTCCATGCTGGCTGCCACCTCCAGCTTCACCTTGTCCGGAGGCATCTGCAACAAAAGGGGATTGGGGGTGTGGGTGCTGGGGTCCCCACTCCCCCTGGCCCCCTCCCCACCTTTGGCTGCCCTTTGCTCT